GTCCAACCCCACAGATGGAAAGGGGAGAACGTGTCCACGCGGGAGGTGGAGAGCGTTCTGTTGCTCGTGGACTTCCTGCAGGAGGTGAACGTCTACGGCGTGTCGGTGCCAGGTGCGGAGGGCTTGCCTCCTTTTAAACCGCCAAAAACCGCCAACAGCTTTGTGGGCGGAGGGGTGTTATCCAGACTTCACGGGGCGGGGAGCTGCTGGAGCAGAGCCAGTGAGCAGAGAAGGGCCAAGTGAGAGGGTCAGCCATGGGCGCTATGAGGTGGGTGACGCTGGAATGACTGGTATGTTCCCCAGGTTGTGAGGGCAAGGTGGGCATGGCTGCAGTGCGGCTGGTCCCCGGCCAGACCTTCGATGGTGAGAGGATGTACCAGCATGTCCACACTTGGCTCCCTGCCTATGCTGCACCCCATTTCATCCGTATCCAGGTGAGCTCTGGGTGGCAGAAGCAGCTGGAAGTGAAGTCTTGGCCAGGGGCTCACAGTCGGGTTATGCTTACTGCCCCTGCAGGACACCCTGGCGATCACAAGCACATTCAAACTGGTGAAAACCCGTTTGGCACGCGAGGGCTTCAATGTAGGCATCATTGCTGACCCCTTGTTCGTGTTGGACAACCAGGCCAAGGCCTTCCGGCCCCTGACGCCAGACATGTACCACGCTGTGTGCAATGGAACCTGGAGACTCTGATCATTTAGCCAGTCCAGAAGACATCTGAAGTGGTAGCGCCCAGTGCTGACTACCACTCCCATTTGCAGGGTCACCTCCCCCCGCCCAAACCAGCTGAGGGTCGTCATGAATCCTAGCCTGGCCAGAGAGTGAGATGATGCTAGGCCCAGTAGCAGAGTGAGCATGAACTTGGATGTGTACACAGATGTCTACTACAGATGTAGGGGCCAAGGGCAGGCGGGCCACTTCGGCAAAAAGGTTGTGTTAAAAGCAATAAAAACCTAGGAGATTCAGGGGTGCCTGGGTGCAGAGGGTTAAAGCCTCTGTCTTCGTCTCAGGTCATGATCCTGGGGTCCTAGGATCGAGCCCCGCATCGGGCTCTCAGCAGCGAGCCTGCTTCCCCCTCTCTCTCTCTCTGCCTGCCTCTCTGCCTACTTGTGATCTCTGTCAAGTAAATAAATAAAATCTTGAAAAAAAACAATGAAAAAAAAAAAAAAACCCTAACAGATTCAGAAGCTCTTTATCTCCCCCACAGATAACTATGTTGTGACAGGGAGGAACCTAGCAAGGCCTCTTTGATCAAATTCCTGTGTTCTCTTGTTTCTGAATGGTCCAAAGACCACTTGTTTACCAAGTATTTACTCTTTCGTCTTCCTTTAAGTTGCATTCTTTCCTACTGAATTCTGGGACCTCGATACCTTTCTCAGTTCAGTATGACATGTATACCTCATTTTGCCTGTCTTTGGAATTTTATGGCTGTATGTATTCCACATACGTACCAATTTAATTTGATTTTCTCCTGTTAACATGTCTCATGTCCATCTGATTCTTAGTCAAGCCAGAAAGTCCTGGAACGACAGAAGAAATTCTTCCTCCCCAACAGTGGATGGAGATACAGGCAAGGACTTCAGGGCCTAGTGCACTCCAGAGATCTTACTTCAGGGTTCCCACCACCTACCATCACCCTGCCAAGGAACTTGGCAAGTCTCAGGGAAAACCTCTCTCTAGGCAACGCCACCAGTGTGGGAGGAGCCAGCAGCCTCAGAGTCATTCCAGGGTTGAGACATAAGGCTCACTCTAACTGTAGATCTTTTTGTGGCCTCTGATGGGCTGACTTCCAGGCTGACAGACGTGGTATGGTCTGGTGGTGTAAGAAGTGCTATCATGGTGATACGACAATGACCTCGGGCTAAGCCCAGAAGGATGAGCAACAAGTAACTGGGAAAAGAGTGTCCTTGGCAGAGTGCACCTGCAAAAGCCCTGACGCAAGTCCTGTGGGGAGGGGTGTGGAGCAGATCAAGCCCTCTGGAAGATGAAATCAATGTCCTAGGGGCCAAAAGAGCCCACTGGGCACTGTGTGTACTGTAAGCAGGATCATGTTTTTGCTGGTTTCAGAAAAGTGTAGTACACACTATCTCGGGGGCTTTAAACGTTAGTTGATCATTACCCAACTACATAGTCTGTGGGCCAAGGAAAAGTGAGTGCCAAAGCCTTGGGAAGTATAGTCCTCAATGTCTCAAGAACCAAAAATGCTTCCTTGGAAATTAGGATAAATACAGATATGAATTTCAGGGCACTGAACCCCTGGGAAGTGCAATCCACCCCATGTCAAGGGCTTTAGGTGCTGCCTAAATGTGGATGTGGGAGGAAGGGAGATCTGCAGGGTGTGTTTAGTGCTGGGGAAGGGGACAGGCATAGCTGACGACACTGCAGGGGGTGGGGACAGGATGGGTGTGGCCTTCACTGAGTGGGAAGCAGGATGGAGCACATACATATGGCCAGACACTTGTTCAGATAGCGTTGGTATTGCCAAGACCCGGGAAAACACAGGTCTACTGTGAATGCACTGCCTCCTTGAGCACCCATGTGCCATTAGGAGAGGGTTCTACCCTTAGGCATCTGCCATTGTGGGAGGAGGCTGTGGCCTGTGCAGACCCCAGGAAAGCCCCTGCTTCCCTAAAAGATGGTGCCAAGCTCTGTCCCTCCCTTCCATTTGTGTCTGAGTCAGCGGCACTGATGTAGCAGTCACCTGTTTGTGGGCATCGCTGTGGGCACGGTACTTCAGCACATGCACAGCTGGTGTAAGTGTCCACGCTGCTGCCAGTGGATGTACCAGTGAGTGCCCAGGCTGGAGGCAGAAGCCGTACAGTAATTTGAACTGGGTAGATTTGATACGTAAAGCTATTAACTATAGGGGCACATGCGTGGCTCAGACAGTTGAGCATCTGGCTCTTGATATTAGCTCAGGTCATGATCTTGGGGCTGTGAGATGGAGCCCCGCATCTAACTTCGTGCTCAGCCAAGAAGATTTAGAATTAATTTTTTTTTTAAATTAACTATAAGGATGCCTGGGTGGCTCAGTCAGTTAAGCATCTGCCTTTGGCTCTGGTCATGATCCCAGGATCCTGGGATCAAGTCCCACATCAGGCTCCCTGCTCAGCGGGGAGCCTGCTTCTCCCTCTGCCTGCTGCTCCCCCTGCTTGTGTGCTCTCTAACAAATAAAATCTTAAAAATAAGTTATACAGTTATTAACTATAACAGAGAACTAACTCTTAAAATTCTTCAGCTGAGAGAATGCCCAATGTAAGAATAAATTTTCGAGTGGGAGCCCTCCTCAAGGTTGGAGTTCAATGTGGGGGAAGATGTGTTTGCAACACACCAGGAGGCAGAGAGATTCTCTGGGTTGCCCAAGCCAAGCCGATAACACCTCGATGTGGTGGGCCAAAGCGATAGCGGGCGTGCAGATGACTTAAGGTGCCACTGCAGGTACAAGGCCTACGGCATTAAGGTATCTGCTGGGAGAGGCACTGGGAAGCCGCTTGCTAGCAGGGTACCTTGGGGTGCATGGTATCTGTATCAGGAGGGCTGTGGTGAGGTGGCGACTGGGCCAGGCCAAGGCTCTGAGCTTGCCAAAGGGAGGCCTGCTTTGGGCAGAGTCTCCACATGTACCACTGCTGTGGTGGCAGGAAGAAGAGAAACAACTTGTGGTTCCCTTCAGTGCCCTCTACGACTGACCAAGCTCAACAACGTGCTGACTGTGGAGGAAGACTGGCTGCAGGGCCCAGCCCACCACAGCGGACGGGCACTGGTATGAAGCAGAGAGGCGATACACTGGTAACTGCAGTGGGCTTGGGCTGTTTTCTGATCTTTTTTTTTTTTTAAGATTTTATTTATATATTTGACAGAGGGAGAGAGATCACAAGTAGGCAGAGAGGCAGGCAGAGAGAGAGGAAGGGAAGCAGGCTCCCTGCTGAGTAGAGAGCCCGATGCGGGACTCGATCCCAGGACCCTGAGATCATGACCCGAGCCGAAGGCAGAGGTTTAACCCACTGAGCCACCCAGGCGCCCCTGTTTTCTGATCTTTTTGCTTTCACAGATAGTTGCTCTGTTTCTATAGCTGTCTTTTGGTGCTCATAAGCATTCATATATATTTTTTTAAAGATTGTATTTATTTGCATGAGAGACAGAGAGATGGGGTGAGCGGGAGGAGGGAGAAGGACAAGCAGACTCTGTGCTGGGCATGGAGCCAGACTCGGGGCTTGACCTCACAACCCTGAGATCATGACCTGAGCCAAAACAAGAATTCATTTGTGGGGTGCATAGCCAGGAGTGGAATTGCTGAGTAAGAGTATACATAGGTTCAGCTGTAGTACATACAGGCAAGTTTTCCAAAGTCATTATTTGTTTTTTCAATTCTTATTAATACTTTTATTGAAAAACACTATCACTATTTTATTCCATACCCCATTCATCCCTGGATGCAGGCCAGTTTTGTATTTTAGCCACGAGGAGCACCCGTTAACAATACGTGATTGCATTACATTTTCTGTGTGCTACTTAAAAAATTGCCACAAATTTAGTGGCTTAAAACAACATCCATTGATTAGCTCACCGTTCTGCAGGTCAGAAGTCTGGGAGGCACTGGCTGGGTTGTCTGCTCAGAGTATCACAAAGCTGAAATACATTGGCTGGGGAGGCTCTTATCTGAAGACCTGGGAGTTATCTACTTCCACACCCATTCAAGTTGTTGGCAGACTGCAAAGCCTTGTGGTAGGACTGAGGTCTCTATTTCTTTGCCAGCTGTCAGCCAGGGTTTGTTCTGAACTTCCAGAGGTCACAGTGGGACTCCCTCTATCTTACAAGCCAGCAGTGGTGAATCAAATCCTTCTCAGGCTTCGATTTTTTTTTTTTTTAAGATTTTATTTTATTTATTTGAGATGGTGGTGAGGGGGGGCAAGGTGGAGAGTGGCAGAGGGAGAAGCAGACTCCACTGAGCAGGGAGCCCAATGCAGGACTCCATCCCAGCACCCTGGGATCATGACCAGAGCCTAAGGCAGATGCTTAACTGATTGAGCCACCCAGGTGCCCCATGCTTCGAGTCCTTTGGACTTTCTTTCCTGTCACGAGCCAGAGAAAACTCCATGCTTTAAAAGGGTTCACGTGGGGCGACTAAGCCTGGGTGGCTTAGTCATTCAGTGGCACTGCCAATATTCTGACCCGTGGAAAGCAGAGATCAGGATTCTTATGCAGAAACTTTCCATTATGAAAGTGAAATTTCTAAAAAATCTCAAACGTGGACGGGCACTAGTTTTCCATCTGCCTGCAAACAGAGGCAAGGCATATTCTCCTGGGCCATCTGCATCTTCTACACCGAGACATCGGGCCCGGAAGCTTCAGGAAGGGTGGAAAGGGGCAGTTTCTGAGCAGCCACCTGGGGCCACTGAGGTCCCAGGGGTAGGGAGAGTCCTTGGCCTGTCAGCCTGCATTGGGTCAAAGCTGGGGTCTCAGAGCCAGGAAGTCACCAGGCTTGGGCAGCTGACTCTAACTCGGGCCTCACGGGATGGTGGAAGGAGGAGCAGTTTCTTTCCACTTACGCCCAGGTGGCTGTTTTGGGGAGACTGAACTGGGGCAGGGGAACCTCCTGGGAACTCTGATTCACCAGTGTCCTCTGCTGCCCCCAAGAATCCCAGAGGCTGAGCAGCCCCGGGGAAAGCTGGAACCAGAGCGCCGGGAACTGTGTCCAGGCCCTGGAAGCTCCCAAGCCCGCAGGATGAGGACACCTCGGGCCCTTCATGGGGCTTCGGGTCGGTGGCTCTTCCTATGGATGACCAGCTGGGACTTCCAGTCAAAGCCACGGCCACAGTCCCCACAGAGGTGGCGCCGCTGGCCCACGTGGCCCTTGCGGTGGATGACCAGCTGCGACTTCCAGCTGAAGCTGCGCCCACAGTCCTCACACGCATAGCTCCGAGGGCCTGGGAGCATGCGCCGGGGGGGCCGGGGTGTGCCCGGCTCCCGGGAACCCGGAGGCAGCTTCTGAGCACCCCCGATGCCCAGGGCCTGTGGACCCTGCCCATCCGCATGGGTCCGGTGGTGGATGACGAAGACTGATTTCCAGTCAAAGCCTCGGCCACACAGCTCACAGGTATAAGGCTTCCTTCGCGGGGCACCAGCCTCCAGCCCTGCTCCCAGCATTGCCCTGGCAGACACAGAGGCCCCAGACGGGCCCTCCCAGGTGACAGATCCCGGGCCCTGGGGTGGCTGGGCCTCTGGGCACTGGGGTGGACCCTCGCAGTGGCTCTCACTTTCATCTCCTGGGGGAAGGAGGGGTGGCAGTCCCAGTAGCCCAGTACCCTTGACATTGGCCCACCCTCTCCCGTCAGGTGTGTGGGGGTGGACAAGCTCCCACCCCAGCAGAGAACAGGTGGTTCGGGTCACATGGAGAAGAACTCACCCGGGTGGAGGCTTCTTCGACCCTCTGTCCCCGTACGCAGTGCCCCAGGCTCCAACTCCACCCGTGCCTCTGGCTGGGGGGCTGGTATCCCTGCTGGGGTGAGGGGCAGTCAGGTAGCAGTCATAGCATGGGGGTGGGTGAGGGGCTCTTACATATTAGGGGCGGGGGTGGGGGCCCTGGTGGGTGACAGGGTGCCCTCAGGTAATGAGCAGGAACTCAGGTAAGCGCTGGGAGACATGCACAGGACAGGACTGGGCAGAGTACCCTGTGGTTAGAGCTATGCAGACACTGAAGGAGGGGTGATGGCTGGTCCTCACCCAGGGAGACCACCGTGCCATACTTCTCCAGCATTGCGTCCCAGTACAGTTCCTTCTGTGACGGGTCCAGTAGCCCCCACTCCTCCTGTGGGGATATGGCCCATCACCCTTGGTACCTGTCCACCCTCCAACCTCTGGCTCGCCTGCAGTGCCCACCCTGCCCGTGTCCCCTGGTCATGACCTTACTCATTATCTGAAGTAGCGGGCAGGCTACCTAAGGCTCTTTTGCTCGCTAAGGGTGAAGCTGAAAAGGGTGTGTGAAGGTTGGGAAATAGGGCAGAGAGGAGCTGTCCTTCAGCTCACTGGGGGGATGCTGCTAGCACCTGTTCCTCTCAGAAGCCCCATTCCATATTCTAGCCAGAGAGAGTAAAGCTGAGAACCCCTTAATGGGTTCTGGGAGAAGCTGACGTGGGCACAGATATGACTGTCCCCACCTCCTTGCCTTGAACAGTGTGCTGCATTGAGAACAAAAGGCCTGGGGACCCAAGGGAATCCAGCCACCTCTCCCCAAGCCTCTGATTACAAAAGTAACAGAGATCCTCCTTGGGGGAGCTGCTGAGGGCTGTCAGCATTCCTGGATGTGGGGACCTAGCTTTGGGGAGGTTTAGTGCAGGAGAACTCGCGTCAGGAAGTGCAGCCAAGCGTCTCCACGCTCAGAGTGGGTGTGTGGGTGGGGTGGTGGGCTGGGTCCCGCCTGCTGCCAAAGGGTGAACTCTGGTGGTTGAAGCACCACCCTGTGGTGGACCCTTGTGGGTTTTACCAGGGCATGCGCTCCCTGCCCCTGGCTTCTGCTCTCCTTGCCTCCCCAAATCCATCATCTGGGGCTTTGCTGGGGTGGGAAAAGTAATCCTGCCAGGCAAATGCCTGCAGGTCCAGGGACAGGGAGGAGGCAGCCCCACGAAGCCACAGCCAGAATGCTGCTGGCTGGAGCGCAGCGGCTCTGGAGGGTGTGGCCTGCCCGCCCAGCTGTCGGGCACTGTGCCATCAGACTGTGGAGAGAGCCTGAGGAACTTTTCAGCCTCCAAGCACATCTCAACCAGCTCTTCCACTGGGAACGCTCCCCAGTGGAGTGGCTTAGGAGCAAAGCTGCTGGGAAAGGACAGGACCCCTGCTGTTCACACTCAGGAACCAAGCAACCAAACACTCCAGGTAGCCGGGGCCTCCGTGGGACTTCCACACCCAGCTGGCCGCAGCCCAGGGCTGGCTGGCCGGCCTTCAAAGAAAGCCCCAGGAAAGAGGTGGCTGCAGGTTATTTCCTAGAGGAAGGCCACCTGTTCTGTGGAGGGGGAGGGGAAACCAAAAGGGAAGGCCAAACTGTTGTGTGGTGCTCAGGCTTTCTTGCCAAGGTTCACCATCTTGACCCCTCCCCACGTGCCCATGAGGGTTCAAGTCCCCAAGTACCAGTTTAAGACTGCTAGGTGTTGGGGTGCCTAGGTGGCTGGGTCGTTAAGCGTCTGCCTTCAGCTCAAGTCAAGATCCCAGAGTCATGGGATCGAGACCTGCATCGGGCTCCCTGCTCAGCAGGAAGCTAAGCCTGCTTCTCCCTTTCCCACTCCTCCTGTTCCTGTTCCCTCTCTCGCTGTCTCTCTCTCTCTGTCAAATAAATAAATAAAAATATAAAACAAAAACAAAACAACAAAAAACTTACTTAAAAAAAAAATGCTAAGGGCTTCAAAATCCCTGATTCCTCTGTAAATGAAGAAACCAACCCTTACCAGTGTCAGTCGCTCTAAACCAGATTCTGTGGCCTAAGGCCCAAATTTTTCCCAATTTTAGAGAGACCACCAGCCTGTCCCTGTCCCTGAGGATCTGCAGAAGGGACCCTGATACCAACTCCATTTCTGGGCAGCAAAGAGCACAAAAGCTGCTAGCCAAGAAGCCTGAAAAACTGGCAGGGCAGAGTGGCCACCAAGGACACAGTCCTCCTTCTGGGTGCCTGTACCTTCCACCTGGGGCTGCTTACCTGAATCCTGGGTGGGTGGAAGGATGTGGAGGCTGGTTCCCGGTGTCCAGGGTGCCCCTCATAGCACTGGGCTGGATTTGGGGGATTGGAAGATGCTAGGAAATGAGGCAGATGAGGGTTAGGGGCCGGTCATGTGAGCCATGGCAGGTGACCTGGTGTTGGTGCTGCAGCCTTGGCCTTCCTCTGCCAGGAGCCAGGAGGCTACTATGTGTGCCAGTCACATGGCAGGCAGCCTGCCAGTCCTTTCCTCCTGCCTCCTGGGGACCCAGCTCTGCAGTCCTTCCCGAGTCCTCATCCCATCTGGGGATATTCACCTTCCTTTCAGGAGCCCCCCAGACCTTGTGCAGCTCCCACTCTCACCCATCTCCTGCCCATCAGCATCTGGCTCCTCCTTCACACTGCAGCTAAGCTGGGCAGACCTCTCCGTCTGGGTGTCCTGGGATCCCTCCCGAGAGGTGGCCCCGAGAAGCTCCACTGTCCCTGAAGGGTGGGATCTCCCCAGGGACTCCTCTGTCTTCTGTGCTGCTGGGAACACCACTTGCTTCAGGACACGGGCTGTGATCTGAGGGGAAAAGGAATGTCACAAGGGCTCTCGTGTGGCTCTGTCCCTCAGAGAAGCCAATGCTGGCCACACTCACCCAGCCCAGCAGCTGCCCAGGGTCATGCTGCAGGCCCTCGACCAGGGCTACAGCCTCCTCAGGGCTGCCTGGCCGCTGGCCCCGCACCCAGGCCTGGATCTCGGGGGGCAGTGTGCTCAGAAACTGCTCCAGCACCAGCAGCTCCAACATCTGCTCCTTGGAGCATGCCTCCGGCCGCAGCCACTGGCGGCACAGCTCTCGAAGCCGGGCCAGGGCCTCACGGGGACCTGCCACCTCCTGGTAGCAGAATCCTCGGAAGCGCAGGCGTGCTGCCTCAGGCTCCTCCAGGATGGCCACGGCGTCCACAGAGGGCAGGCGTGGGGGGCCCAGTGGGGATGGCATTGTTGTATTGGGTGTCTTCTTGTAGCCAACAAGAGAGACCTGCAGGAAAGGAGGGGTCAGGGTGCGGGCTAAGAGGCCATGGCGAGGGTAGGGCGGACAGGCCCAGCCCAGGGGGCTGAGGCTGGTTGAGGAAGGGCTGTGGCCCAGGGATGCAAGAGGCTGGGAAGGCTCGGTGGAGGGAGGGGTCACAGGAGCTGGCTGCCGAGGGAACTGAAGGCAGAATGAAGCCTTGCGGTTGGACGCTCTGGAGGCAAGTTGTCCAATGGAGCTTCCAGGAAACTGCAGGAGACGATGAAGAGGAGGCGAAAGGAGTCACTGCGGTCTTCCAGGGTCTCACTCAGAAGCCGAGTAAAGTGACAGGCAGGAGGAGGAGGAGGGGCAGGCAGCCAGGGACTGGGTGAGGCCATCACCCCTGGTGAGGGGGAGCAGTGACGGTGGGAAGAGGCCTCAGCAGGACACAGGGCCGTGCTGGGCTGTGGCGGAGTGTGTGTCCCCACGATCTCCAGATCTCCGGGACATGGGGACATGTTGACGGAAGTGGGCCCCCTGCGGGGCCAGCTAGAAGGAGGAGGGACGTCTGCGTCACGGGGCGAGCCAGAGGCTGTGTGGACTCCAACACACCGCGCTCGCTGACCCCAGGGGACTGGGAACAGCTCGCGTCGCCCGAAGCAAGCGTGTGACAATCACAACAAAGCAAAGCTACGAGGTGCGTGGGGTCCTCAGCGGACACTGTGTCCCGGCCGTCAAGAGGGTCTGGGATGAACTAAGGCCACCTGGGGGACCCGTCAGACCAGCTAGACCAGGCCTGACCCCCCGGAGAACGGTCCCCAAAAGGGAGGGGTAAGAAGAGGTCCTGCCGGAGGAGGGGGAACGCCGTTCCGGGTGGGAGGAAGGGCCCAGGCCGAGGTGGGAGGTAGGGCGCGGGGGGGCGCGTCGGGCGGTAGGCGGGCGCTCCGAAGTGCGGGCAGAGCGGCACCGCCGGGTGCCCCCGGGATGCAAAGAGCCGCGGCCCGCCAGGCCCCGCCCGCGCTCACCTCCGCCGCGGCGCGGGCGCCAGAAAGCCGCCTCTGTGGAGGGGCTCCGCCCACCGCCCCCGCGCGTTGCCATGGCGACCCCGCCCCGGCCAACCACGCGCCTGCTCGGCAGGTCCCGCCCCCCCCCCTTCGGACTACGTTTCCCGTGAGACTCAGCAAGCGAGGACCGGCGCGGCCTCCGCCAGCGGATGCTCATTGCCAAAGGCCTCTCACAACTGAGAAGAGCTCTGTTCCTCTCAGAGAAATGCGAAGAGTCGCAGACTGTGGGGGCTCCCTCCCCGCTCTGGCGGCCGCTCTTCCTTTGCATCCGAGCCCTGGACTCACCAACGGCCGCGACGGACGGTACGTTAGACTCCTGCGCGTGCGCACAGTGGCTCCGGCGCCTATTGGCAAGCGAGGGGGGTGGGAGGAGCGTGACCTCACGGCCGTCCCGAGCTAGCGCCCCACCTAGGCCACGTTGTATTCGCGGAGCAGTCCTCTTGGTGACCGCTAGAGGACACCCGCCCCCTCCCTGTTTCCAAGGCAACGGCCAGAGCGTCGCCGGGTCCTCCCGGGAAGCCGGAAGTGACTGCGGGAACAGTGCAGACTCGCCTCCAGGTGGTTCCCGGAGGAAGCAGGGGCCGACCTTATCTGTGGACTTTCTCCGCCAACCCCGGGAAGGACTCCAGCGGGGATGGTGCTGGGGTCCTTATTCGACCGCTGCTGGGTGCCCTGCGGACATCGAGAACAAGGACCAGGGTGGACACATATTTACAGAAGATACTGTCCCATGATTTATACTCTCAGAGTCTCAGACACGTCTTCAGATGTCAGTACAGCGAAGTGAGGGACGAAGGTTTTTGTCCAGCTTATGGGACGCCGCTAACCTTTTACATGGGGTACCAAAACGAGTAAGAGTACCTTCAGTTTATCTCAGTAGCCAAGAACCACACTGTGGGAAGGGGTGCTTTGCTTCCAGAAATCAAGTATTCGGTCCTAAATTGCATATGCCTGTTTTGATTTCTTGGGATACCTAGTAATCCCTAGCTGCTAGCACTCAGTGAAGAGCAGTGGTCATACACACGGGATGCTCTGAGCATCTGCATGGGTGGGGCCTGTCAATTCTTCCACGCGTCATCAGACTGAGCTGTTTTGGGTGGGGATGGGGGACTTAGATTGTTTCTCTGGAACTGTATGGATTCCCCAGAAATGTCTCTTCCACCATGGGGAGAGCTAGTGCTCTAATAGCTTTAGTAGCTGTCCCCCAGTCACCTTTGCTTTAGGTCCCTTCTCCCAGGGGGCTGCTGCTTTACAGGCCTTCTGGAGTTCTGCACTATAAGCCTGGTGGAACCTCTGCCCACTTCCCCCAGGGCCAAATCAATATTTAGCTTTCTCTAAATCAGAGATAGATCCCACATCTGGTTCTAGTTCCACAATGCCATTGCTTCTAGTTTCACCATCCTCGTTCTTGTGGGTTCATATTTTTAAATACTCTCATCTCTGTAGCTCCAGTGAGTTTCTGAACCAAGTGAAATGCATGTGTTCACACCACTACCTTGCCCCAGAGAGCTCAAGGGCACTGTTACACTCAGCCTATTCAGGATTAAGGACTAGTCTAGAAAAGAAAAGAGAAAAGAAGAAAAGGAAAGGAAAGGGGCGGGGGGAGGAAGGAAGGAAGGAAGGAAGGAAGGAAGGAAGGAAGGAAGGAAGGAAGGAAGGAAGGAAGTGGGAGAGGGAGAGGGAGAGAGAAAGAAAAAGACTAGCCTGACAGGACAAGGCTCAGCATGACCACAGAAGTTTAGTGGAGGGCAGTGTAAGGCTCAAGATATGGGGGAAGGCAGATAATCATGGTCACTGTTCCCCTAAGGCCCCAGTGTGGGCCACTGACCATTCCTACGCACTGGGAGGGGCGGGTTTGAGAAGGGTAGAGGAAGTGAGACATAGCAGGGGCCAAGCACACAGGTGGGAAGGACCTCAATGAAGTGGGGAGGAGATTGGTGGGGAGATGGCTCAGGACATCAGACCCAGCTCAAGGGGTCATGAGAGCTCCAGGAGCTCCAGTCCAAGATGCAGAAAAGGTTGCATATGACTTGAGTCACGTGCTGCTTGACAGTTGCCTTTGCCTCTGAATCCCATGGGCTCCCAAGAAAGTGGGGGATTGTCTGCATTTCACAGCTGTGCAGACTGAGAATGGCACTCTCATGATGCGATTCTAAAGGAAGATGGGGATGAGGCCAGAGTGTATACCAGATCAGAGGAGAAAGGATGAGTCCAGGAGGGGTGAACAGTGGCTCAGAGGCCTGTGGGGTACCCAGGAGTTGCCACAGAGGACCTGCATCTAAGGGTCTTTAGGAGTGGGTTCAGCAAGAATCCTCTCTCTGCAGGAGTTGTGAGGTTATAGAATAAAAGGTCTGGCAATGCTGGGAGGAGACAAGTGAGTATGAGAGGACAATATGTGTGGTCATAGTATATGACACATAGCTGCCAAGTCTTGGAGATGGTGGGACTAGACGATCCACCAAACTGGAGTCAGTATTTCTGGCCACTATTGGTGACCCCAGCCTAGACTCCCTGGCCTGGATCCACAAAGACTCATATCGAGATAGAAGTCCTGTTTGGGGCCACCCCATGCTATCCTCCCTACTAGATCTCCTGGGCTGACCCCACACCTCTGGCTACCAAGGGAGTAACAGGTATCACAGATACCCAGTGGACCTCAGACAGGCTACATACCTACCCTTTCACTCTCAGAATGACGTGGTCAAAGCCAAGTGTCTGCAGCTCTGTCACAACACACAGTGATGGCATGTATGCAGTCTGCTAAGGTGAAACAGGCATCAGACTGTTACCGTGCACACGTTTGACAAATTTTTATCAGGAAGCCTCTCTGGACTGTGATGTTAAACCCTCTGACCCAGGACCTGGAGGCTGGGAGGGGAGGCTGAGGCTGTGGACTTCCACAGTGCCCTGCAAGGATTTACACAATGTGCGTCCATTCAACTTCAATTTTGGGTCTTTTCTGTTCCCAAGTAAAGAGACCACTACCACCCCTGGGTTTGAGGACTGAGGTGAGGATGGGCCCTGGTCTGCTGAGGGCCACAGGGAGAAACCTGGGCCCCACCCCACCCATCCAACTCAGTGTCCCAGGATGGGAGGGTGCACACACACATGGCCTTAGGTGACAGCAAATCCTCTTTCCAACTCAGGAAGTGAACAGGTGGGCACTTGCCCACCAGACCCTGCAGAAACAAGTAGTCCCGTCTGGTCTCTTCCAAACCTGTTGTTGTAATCCCCTCTTGTTAGGGCAGTGGGGACATAAAGGGTCCTGTAGCGGTGCTTTGGTAACAACGGGACATGGCCATTGCTGAGGCTGCCGTGAGAAACTGAATAAAAGAGCGTGGCTCAAGAGCCACCACCTTGATGTCTGTCTTCCTCTGCCCACCCAGGGAACTGCCACCTCTACTTGCCCCACCCACTAGGAGACTGCCATGTGCACACAACCAGGCCTGACATCACCCAGCTCTCACACCAGCAGACCAGAGCACGGGTGCCAGAGCATGGGGGCAGAGTGGTGAGCTGTCTGGATACTGGGCCTGTGGCCTGGATTCAAGTGCTGGCTCTGCTATGTACAACTCATCCCCTCTCTCTGCCTCAGTTTCCTCATCTGTAAGGTGGGGATACCAGCCACAGTAGCCTGGTGGTACCTGGTGGTACCTGAAGGCAGGTACTCCTCAGTGTAGTATAGGTACTATGAGTGTAGCCTCACAGGCCTGGAAACTGGCACGTGTTGGCGCTTATCAAGATCCTGCCTTCAGGATGCTGCAAATTCCCTCTGGAGGCCTGAATCTCTCTCTCTCTCTCTTGTGTTCTTTGTTCCAGAGGTGGAAGATAGGACCTAGACCCAAAGTCAACCCCAGACCCCGAAATGAGCTCCTGTCCACTGGGTCCACTTCCAGGAGATCTGGAGGAAGGGGGCCTTGGAGGACCATCCTGAGGGTTGGCCTGGTGGCCAGTTTGTGCATGGGCAGGGGAAATGTCGAGGGCTGCTTCCCCAGCATTCCAGCACTCCCCTGCCTCACCTGAGCACCCACAGTCATAATGGCATGAAACGGCACTCTGACTCCCAAGTCTCTGCCCTACTGAAGTCCCAGCATCCGAATGGGGGGACAATCCCCCTGATATTTCTGCAGCCTGACCACTTAGGGCTGGAGTGAGCTGTGGCTGAAATGGCAAACATCGTCACACGTGCAGACGGAACCACAGTGCACATACGGTCTCCTCCAAAATGTGGATATGGAGGGAACACAGCTGTGTTACGACAAGCCAGGGAAGGCTGGAGCTGTGAACTCAGGCTTCAGCAGGCTTCGAGACTGCGGCTGGACCGGAGGCAGGAGTGGGCCCCGCTTCCCTCCCCAGTGAGCCCTCTGATGAGGCCACTGAAGAAGGCCTGGCCTGGGGGCAGAGGCCTGCCCCACGCCGGGGTCTCCGCACAGGTTTCTCTCCTGTGTGGATCCTCTGGTGGTGGAAGAGGGCCGGGCGCTCGCGGAAGGCGCGGCCACAGTGCGAGCACACGAAAGGCTTCTCGCCCGTGTGGATGCGTCGGTGGCTGAGCAACACCGCGCCCTTGGCGAAAGCCTTCCCGCAGTCCCCGCAGCGGAAGGGCCGCTCGCCCGTGTGCAGCAGCTGATGCTGCGTGAGGTTAGAGCTATGACTGAAGGCGCGGCCGCACTGTGCACAGGCGAAGGGCTTCTCGCCCGTGTGCACACGCTGGTGCTTGAAGAGAGAAGAACCCTGGCTGAAGGCAGCCCCACAAAGGGCACAGGTGTAAGGCTTCTCCCCCGTGTGCGTGCGCTCGTGCTGAATCAGGTGTGAGTTGCGGCAGAAACGGCGGCCACACTGGGCGCATGCGTACGGCCGCCCGCCTGCGTGGATCTTGCGGTGCTGGCTGAGGTTGGAGCCGTGGCTGAAGGCCTTGCCACACTCGCCGCAGCGGAAGGACTTCTCGGCGGTGTGTATGCGCTGGTGCCTCACCAGCGAGGAGCTGTGCCGGAAGGCCTTGCCGCAGACCGGGCATGCGTATGGCGTCTCCCCACTGTGGATGCGCTGGTGCTGCGTCAGGTGTGAGGTCTGGCTGAAGGCCTTGCCACACTGCGCACACTCGTAGGGCCGCTCCCCAGTGTGCGTGCGCAGGTGCTTGAGCAGGTCGGAGCTCTTCACGAACACCTTGTTGCACGCCCTGCATTCGAAGGGCTTCTCCCCGGGGAGGAGGCCAGGGCCCATGTGGAGGGCCTTGCCCAGCTGATCCCAGGCTGGGGGCTCCTGGGCAGCAGGGTGTCCATGAGACTTGTGGCTAGCCAGACTCTTTCCTCCTTCCCCAGAGGTGAGACCAGCCTCAAATTCTGGAATTTTGGAGAAACCTCTCCGAGAGGCCTCCCGCCCACATGCCCTTAGCTGCTTGCCTGGCATGGGGCGGGTCACAAGGGCCTTCTCCCTAGGTGGGCAGTCCTCAGCTGGCCTCAGTGGGGAGGTCAGGCGCAGACTGACACTGGCCTCCCCACTGCCAGGACCTAGCAGGAGCTGTTCCCAATAGATTACAGACACCCCTGTGGGTTTTTTCTCCTGAGAGGGGGAAATGCCCTGCCAGCCCTCCAGGCTCTTCCCGTGCTCACAGATGCCAGTGAAGGGGAGGACCCTTGTAGATGCTGGAGGGGAGCCATCATGGAAGGACCCTGGCAGCTCTGCTTCTGCTGGAACAACCCTGTCGTATGCCAGATGACGGGAACCTAAAGGCACAGAAATGGCAGATCCTGGGTCACCCTGGCCAAGAGGGGATTACTGGGCCAGGCCTAGTGTTCAGGCAAAGGGGATGCTAAGGATTAGGTGTGCAAGGTGGGGAGAAGAGCAGTAGCCAGACACCAGTCTATGTCATTCCCTCTGGCCCCAGGAACTCCTCAAGCTTGCTTTTCCTCCTTACACTAATGGCTACCTGATGCTACAGGCTTTACTCACAAACTCATTTCCCCAGGCCTCTCCCCTGGCATGGTCAACTCCATGAGAGCAGGACCAGGAACATCCTGGGAAAGGCTGCGCCCCGGTGCCTAGAATGGGCTGCTCTGGGAGCTCCCCTTTAATGGGCAAGCCAAGACCAGAGCCTCCAAGAGGGGCTGATGATAGAAGGAGAACAGGAGGGAGTCAGGTGGGAGGCAGGAGATGAGAGTGTCCAGGAAGGCAGGGAAAGGGAGACAGAAGCCTGGCCATTGGTGGGCCCAAGTTCACACTCTCCGAGTCCCCACTCACCAGGGCTGGGCTTCCTAGGAGCATTCCTGACTGGTGTCACAACTGTCCCACTGAGAACCCAGGGCTCCTCACCACGCTCAAGCTGAATGACCACCCGTGGTCGTGAGGCAGAGAGTCCTGTGAGAAAAGACAAGCAAGTGAAGGGCCAGGCCCGGCACAACGGGTAATAGGAGCCAGGACTTTATGGGACACAGATGGTGTCATCTGGTCAATGAAGAAAACCACACCACAGGGCAGGACTCACAGGAAAAGAGCATTGGTTCCCGTGAGGAGAACCGGGTTGGCAGTAGCAGATGAAAGGGGCAGAGCCTGGACACAGAGGTGCCACAGTGGGACAGGGACATTTGGCCAGCAGGTGTGAGGCTGCTTGTAGGCCAACGGGAGATGCGGGGTTAGTGCTGGCAACAGCTGAGCTTCCCGTGGGAAACCCAGGGCCTTACCTAGTGAGGCCACAAGTGCGAAGTTCTCTAGCATCACGTGGCAGTACAAGGCCTTCTGGGCTGCGTCCAGGAGCTCCCACTCCTCCTGGGAGAAGTACACGGCCACATCCTCAAAGGCCATCAGGCCCTACAACAGTGGGCAGGGGAAGATGGACACAATCTAAGCTATGGTTCTATGACCCAGGACCCACCTCCCTGGCCCAATGGCTACCTTTCCCATGTCCCTCAGAGGCTTACCTTCCTCGCCCTGACCCCCTCCTCCCCCGGGCTCTGCAACTGTGCCGATTAAACTTCCCTCCTCTCCCCTAAACCCTACCTGTCTAGCATAGATGCTTTCTCGGCCTCCACACTGGTCACTTACACAAGGCAGCCAGAGCAAGCTCACGGCATTCAGATGGCTGCCACCCCAAAGGCAGGCCCAGGTGCCCCTTGTGCTCCAGCCTTTGCACAAACTGACCCTCCCAGACATGCCCTTAGCTCTTCTTGTAACTAGCGATTGTACAAGTCCCAGCTATGGACCTGCCGGGACACGCCCATGCCTGGAGGGATGCCATCTTCTGCAGAACGTGCCTGACATCCCAAAGCTGCTCCTCCAGCTTGAGGACTGACTGCCTGATCCCCTCCGGTCACTATAGGAGGGGGCCCAGGGATCCAGTGGCCACACAGGAAGTCAGTTTCCTCCTCCCTCCATAACTACGCACACCCCACCCCTCCATTTCCTTGGCCAAAACCCCTGCCTTCAGCCACTTGCCAGACTTCCTCCCAGAACCCCAGAGGCTACCGACATGTCTTCATCTCCCTGGAGAGCTACCCATCCCTGGCTGAGTCCACGAGATTCCTTCCTCCTAAATGGGATTCCCAGGCCCTGCCTTGGCTCGGAATATCAGGACCGTGTCCTTGGACATCTGCAGTTTCGGGTCCACGTGATGATACCTCTGCTCTGGGACATACTCTTAAGCCTGCTTTTCCCTCAGATTCCTGTTTCTGATACAGCAGTTCTATTCTTCCGGGTGTTCAGGCCAAAAACCCTGGGACTGTGCTCCGCTGGGGCCACTCGCTCCCCCTCCGCACCTGAGACATCGGATCTATCCCGAACCCACCACGTTTCCCATCTCCACCGGCCCAGTGCGCCGCAAGCGGCGACTCGGGCCACCTACTGTGGCACTGCCTGCTCCCGGCGCGCGCGGCCACCCCGGTCTGCGTCTTTTCTCCGCCAAGCACACGCGGCGACACTTTAAAAGCCCTAACTTGAAGCATGTCCGGTCTCCGTCGAACCCTCCATGGCCCCCGACGCCAGCTCCTCGGCCTACCATTTCTGTCCGGGGCTCACTTCAGAAGCCCAGCTCCGGGAGCACCCAGGCTCAGTCTCCCCTCCCGGCTTTTGCACGTGCGGCGCCCTCCGCCTGCAACTTCCTTCCACCCTCACCCCCTTGGCCGCCAGGACGGGGGATCTCACACGTGCACGCCCCCCCGCCCCCGGCCTGAACACCGGGGCCTGGGACGAACCGAGACGGGAGACAAAACGTCCCGATGGGGCCCCTCCCTGAGTCGGGACTCGGGTCCCTCTAGGAGCGACCTAGGCGGGTGGTTGGGGGGTGGGGGAGGGAGTCCGACGCCTCCTCGACTCACCTGCGCCGGGTCTGTCAGAGCCGCGGTCGCCATCAGAGCTTGCACTTGGGGACGCGTAGAAAGCGACGGACGAATAGAACGTCCTGATTCCGGGCCTCAGTCTCCCCGTCCGTCCAGAGCACAGACGCCCCGGAGCCCAGGACGCCGCCTCCCCTGCCGCCCGGGGGTCGGAGAACACGTGACGCGGGCCACCGCCCCACAGCCCCGCGGGGCGGCCCAGGCTACACCCGGAGAAACCGAGGTTCGGGGGGCGCGACGGCCGCCGGCGCCCAAGCCATGCGCCCAACCGCCCTCCGCTCACGCCCTCGTCGCCGCCCTCGCCTCGGGTCTCCACGCCTTCTGGAACCCCGCCTGTGCCCGCCGCGCTCGGGTCCCCAACACCGGTGTGGCCCCGCGCCCCGCTGCAAAGTGACAGTCCCCGGACGCCGGAAGTCCAGCCCCCGCAAGCCCTCATTGGCCCAATGTGCGCTGCGGACGCACGCGCGCCGCCTTCTGGGAAGCGTAGTTCCCGCCCGCTCTGCAGCCAGACTGGCGTCGCTCTTTCGGATCTCCGCGCAGCACGCTGGGAAATGGAGTCCCGCAGGCGTGCCCCCGCTTCCGCCGGCCCGCGCGCGTTGGGTGGCTAGTCTGCGTCCTGGGACCCGTGACGGCACCCGAGCGACCCGAGGCTAAACGCTGCACGCGCGGAAGCGGGAACCGCTGAGGTGCCAGGAGGCGACCCCAGCCCGGGGCTTTAAGGACAAAGCCCAGTGGGAGGGGCGGGCCAGAAGGGGTGGCGCTGGGGCAGCGAGCCCGGGAATGCGACCCCAGGTTCACCTCTGGAGGCCTGTGCTTCGTTTGGCCTCTCTGTGGCCTGTGAAGGGTTAACACCAGTTTTGCAGCCCATGCACCAAGGGGTGCAAGCCCCCGGCCTCAATTACTTCCATACATACAGGCACGCATGCATGCATACAGACAGACAGACGTGGTACAGTAACGTTACCCAGCGCCTTGTTGCCCACTTTGGTAAGGAGATAGGGAATTCATCTTCGTCAAGCTCATTCATTCTTTCTGTCTTCCTTACTCTCTTTCTCCCTCCTTATACATGCATCTGTCTCAGCCATAACTATCTTTGGAATGTAAATCCTGGAAATGCAAGAGAGCCCATAAATTTTGGAATATTCGTTTTTTGTTTTTTGGGGTTTTTTTTTAAGATTTATTCATTTATTTGACAGACAGAGATTACAAGTAGGCATAGAGGCAGGCAGAGATGGGTGGGGGGAAGCAGGCTCCCCGCTGAGGAGAGAGTGCGACGTGGGGCTCCATCCCAGGACCCCAGGACCATGACCCAAGCCGAAGGCAGAGGTTTTAACCCACTGAGCCACCCAGGTGCCCCAGGAATATTCGTTTGTTAAGTATTGCTCACTTTGAAAGAATTTAAGGAAATCTAACATCTTAAACTCATGATTTAATCAAAAGCTTAGAGGCATTAACATTACAAGCACTGTTAGATGTTTGGAGACATTTAATTTCTTAAAACCTTATTTTAAAATTATCCCTGTAGGGGCGCCTGGGTGGCTCAGTGGGTTAAAGCCTCTGCCTTCCGCTCAGGTCATGATCCCAGGGTCCTGGGATCGAGCCCCGAATTGAGCCCCGAATCGAGCCCGGGATCGAGCCCCGAATCGAGCCCGGGATCGAGCCCCGAATCGAGCCCCGCATCGGGCTCTCTGCTCGGCGGGGAGCCAGCTTCCTCCTCTCTCTCTGCCTGCCTCTCTGCCTACTTGTGATTTCTGTCAAATAAATAAATAAAATCTTTTAAAAATAATAAAATTATCCCTGTAATGTGTAATTACTTAGACTCCAG